CCTGGTGTGTTTTGACTAAGTGCTGCTCTGTAGTCAACCAAAATCCCAGACAATTCGGTAATTCCCCTTGGACATTTTTTTAGGTAGGAAAAGTAGGACATGTCCAGGAAAAGGAGGACGTCTGGTCACCCAACCATATGAACAATTTGATGTTTCAGAGAGTGAGTGCTTGTTGCTATGATGCATCTTTGCTCAGCAGCTTCGCTCGTTGTAAACCAACCAATCAAGCAATCTAAATATTCATGAGCATTCAATAAAAGGATGAAAACCTGTTGTTTCATTCTAGGGCTTTTAACCAGGCTTGCATTAGGGCCCATAGAACAGCAAATACGCCATTTTTAGCCCAACTAATGTTACACACCCTATTCAGAGACCTTAAGGACCAGCAACAAATGCCCTATACAATCATTCTATGACCCCGTTAAAAATTGTACATAGAATGAATGTAAGTATAATTCTATGCTTGTATAATTATATTTCTGACACTGTTGGTTATTCTGTGAATGTAACCAGTTAATCAGGAAAAACTTTTAAGTTATTGAGATCCACCTGTTGGTGCGTCTGTTTAAATACTGTTATTTGCAACTATGAGGCTCAATTTTCGTTTGTATTCTGGAAGCCCACTTCAACAAAACTTTAAGAACTTTTAAAAGCCTGATAGAGACTAAATCCCCAGCAAAGCTTATTAGTGATCTGGTACTACTTTCTAAACTTAATTGCAAAAAGAGTTGTGCTAGTGAGTCCCCAGTGAATGTTCTTTTTTGGTTTGTTCAAGACTAGCTGTGTCTAATTATCAAGCTAGAGAACCAAAAGGCAGCTAAATAACAAAGAAGAGCCTGATTTCCAAATTTTATAACATTGTATTACTTTCCTCAAAAGAAGACAGACTTACAACCGAAGTCACAGAACTGTGGAACAATTCCTGCCTGCCAGCAAAGACAAAAAATATTTCCACCAGGTTTAGATTGTTGTAATAATTTTTTTTATTTAGAACCTATATTATTCCTGTAAAACCCACACTTTACCCTAAAATACCTAATGTATGTGTCAAATGTGGTTTAGATAAGGGCACTCTTTTCTCATTGTATGTGGCAGTCTCCAGAACTTCAAAGTTTTTGGAAGAACGTTATTACTTGTAACTAATGTATGATTGTAATGTGACAATAGAAGGTACTCTATTGCATATTTTCCCAAAAGGTTTTACAGGAGCTATAAAAGAAAATAAGCTCAAAAGTTTCTACTTGTTGCAGGCTAAGCATTTAATTGTTTTGAACTGGAAAGCCACAGAAAAATTGAAATAAACCAGTGGATTAATTCAATTCAGATTATTTAAATCGCGCCAATTCACAACACATGTCATCTCAAGGCACTTTACAATTCAACAACATCATACAGTCTAATTGATACAGGAATTTCTACCTAAGAAAAAACAGTTGATTGCATCTACTCATTGACTCAAAGGCATTCCTCACACCAAGCATGCTTGTAGCGACAGTGGAGAGGAAAAACTCCCTATTAACAGGAAGAAAACCTCCAGCAGAATCAGGCTCAGTGTGAGCGGCCATCTGCCAAGGTTCAAGGAGACAACAGCAGGTGGGCAGAAAGAAGCAGGGATACGGAAGACAATTGTAAACCAGCTCCACAGGCGGCCCTGTCCAGGCAACCAACAGCCAGGCAGACAAGCTCTGAGTCAACTCCCATATCAGAGGTTGAAGAGAGCACATCCAGTCATAGTCAGAAAAACAGAACTAAACTGAAAAACTGGCCAATCTCGATTAAACAAATATCCAACAACCTGGCACTGGAGAAATTGACCTGCATCATGAGAGGAAAACTGGAGGACTTTTTTTAGAGATATAATTGCCCTTCCTGTGTCTTATGAAAGACGTGAGGTCTGAGTTTTGATTTTATCTTTTTGTTTGCCTTTGTATTTTCTAGTTGATGTTATACATCATTAAATGTTTAAAATTCAATAAAAATATGTGTGAAAAAAAGAAATAACAAAGAAGAGTTGTCTATGTACATGTATTGTTTATTTGTGGGCCTTTAGCGATTATAAGAAGGTAAATAAAAACTACTGTTATATACTTTGCCTTTCTAATATAAAATATTTGTGTGTGTTTGATTCAAGGCTTGAGCTTTTGAGCGGTTGTATATAATATATAATCTGTACAACTGGTTCTCTTCATCAGGGGTTAACTGATATTTTTTTTGCCAAATCACCAACTTCACAGAAGTACTGAAATATGTCCAAGTAACATTTTCAGATAAATCTTTGCTTTCTAATTTGCCCCAGCTGTGTTTTGTAAAGCTAGTACAGTATAATATTAGCAATTCTCCTTTTTCTATTGTATTGTTCCAGCAGAATAAAGCAACCAACTAAGCTGCCTACTATTTGCGTGCTTGGTGTCTCAATGGGAGCAAGTTCACAGGTAGGAGGTGAATAAAATTAATAATACATATGACCCCTACTTGGCAACAGCAGTAGTTGCATATTTTAAATGCTGTATGAGTAAATACAAAATCTAAAACAAAAACTGCATATATCTAAATGTGCTGCTGACCAATTCAAATATAATATAGTCTCTTTCCCCTCATTAACCCTTATAGCCGGCCTGCAGACACATTTCCATTCCTGTCAGATATATTTCCCACATTCATTTTCATGAAGCATTGCACTGGGACATAGTATTAGCAAATGTTTCAGCAAAAATATTTCATCTTTTGGTTGAGTCCATCCTAAAGACAAACTATCTCATAAACATTGTATTTACTTTGTGAAGTAAGTAAAAAGAAAAATGAAAATTATGTGGATTTTTTTTATAACAAATCTCAACATGCAGTAAATAAAGAGTATAAAAAGTAGATTGAAAATGCACCTTCTAACTCAATGCAAGGCTCATGTGGCCAAACAGACGCTGCAAAGGGGCAATTACCTTTTATGGAGGGATTATCTGCCGCCAGGGGCCTCTAAAGGCAAACTGAAATACTGTCTTTTGGAAACTAAAATAAACAGCATTGTTTCCTTTCAAAAAGACTGTCCAGAGAGAATACATGAAGATAAAGCTGTTTTTTGTTGAAGCGCACTAAAGGATTAGGCGAGCTCTCATATTTTCCCTAGGGATATGGCAATAAGAGAAATTTGGTTTTATTTATTTATTTTTTATTTTCTGTTTAAACCTTGTGTTTTCTCATGGTTGTGTAAAAATGAAAAAACACTATACATGGGTTCAATGGAAGAAACTGAACCCTAGCACTGGCATTTATACATTGGGATTTTAAGTTTTATTAAAGACAAAAAAATGTCTACCAACTTTATTACTGTAAAAGGCAAGTATATAGACTAACCTGAATGAAGTGGGTTTTAAATAAAACTATGGTATTGTTTTATCTGTCTTCTATCATTAGTTCGACTTTTCTTATTTATTAGATATGTAACATAAGTAAGAAACATATTTTTCTGTCTAAACAACCCTTACAAGGACATGGACTGATTGTGTATAAAAAGGAAAGTTCTAGCTGCTTTTATTCACAGTTACCTATAGATTCTCTATATTCAATCAAATTGAGTGTGAGCTGCTTTATTAAATAGTATTATTTAATAGTAATCTTTTAGATATTGAAGCCAATAGGCATACCTGAACCAGCTGTAAATGTCAAGGCTAAGAAAGTAGGACCCAGAATTCAGGAAAGACAGACAGTGGAATAACTTAAAAGTGTTTATTTAAACCAGTGGGTATGCTGAAGCAGCGGCTAGGAGTCTAATACAGGAATGTCTATAGGAGAGGAACACAGGTTAGTGACCACGATAAGCTGACGGATGATTATGAACGCGTGAGTCACTAACCTGGTTTGACAGTTCAGTTCGTGCCCAGAAAACAAGGATGATTCCAGCCAGTTGGCTGACAAGACGCAGCGGATGCTGCCAGAGCATTCAAGACGCGGAAGCCTAGAAGGCTGCAGGACTAACAGGGGATCAGATTAGAGCTGACAACGGAAGGTAGGATAATCTAGAGGATGAAGTCAATAGGCAGATCAAGGTCCAGTCCACGGAAGAATCCAACAGGAGTCAGAAGAAAGGCCAGGCAAACAGCTCAGAGAGGAGTAGGCAGGCTCAAAAGTCCGAATACAGAAACAGGTCAGAATCAGGCAAACAGAACACTATAGTAAAGCTCGAAAACTCCTAGACCAAAGGCTCAAGAATAATCTGGCTCTGATGGCTAGGACCAAGGATTTTAAATAGAAGCAGGAGCAGGCTGATCAGTTGAGCAGTGATGAAAACAGGGCAGAGCTAGACAGGTGAATGAAATGAGCAATCAAGCCAGCCATTAGTGCCAAAATCATGACAGTAAGGACAGTAAAAGTCTAGTTATTGAATGAGAGCTGAATTCAAATGTATCCTCTAATTTTAAAACGTCTACAAAGCATTTATCATGTTCTTTTGGCTTTACAGTTATTGATCACTCTGTGTTCACCACACGAAAATTCTCATAATATTGAAGATTTAGTTCCTACTATTCTTATCTTAAGTCCCACGAGTAAAAAAAAAAGGCTCATGTGGCCCCTGAAACTATTTCAGTCTGAATTTAGATGTAATGCTGCATTGGTTTGAAAGAAATATGCTATTAGTGCATACTTATACTTAATGATTCACAAAGTAAGTCAGAAATAACAAATCATTGAAAGCCCACAGACTTGCAAAAGGAGAAAACATGCAAACTAACTCCATTCTACCCCTGCAGCTGCAGAACGAGGATTATTAATCAGTACACCAGAACAAGTAAGATATCCCCAAGTCCACAACAACAGTTAGTTGTGAACTTGCAGAAAATAGCCCAAGGAGAAGTTTATGCAACACACACACACGCATACAGACACTTCCACCTGCTCATTTTAGAAAGGGTCATCAATCATGCACACATGGCTTGATCCTCAGAGAAAGCAGAGGGAAGGGGGTAAAAATCAAGCACACTCACTCTGACCAAAAGATGAATACTAACATTTCATCTTGATTTGTTGGATGATCTCGATAATCTCCATCTCTGTAGGCATGTAGCCCATGGTTCTCATGCATTCTGCAATGTCTTTGTAATGGATGAATCCATCCGCATCGTAATCAAATTCCTTAAAGGCCTCTTGAAGCTCTGGCAGAAACACAAATGAAACTGTAAGGCATGAAGTAAAATAGTCTTCCCAAGAGTCAAACATAAAAACTCACTCTCACAGTTTGTGCAAGAGTTGTACATATTTTTGGGCAAGTTAATGACTTCTTGAAATAGCTAAATATCTCCCAAAAGAACACATTTACGGAGATGGTGAAAATATTTACACCTCTGCAAATTTTTCTAATTTCCTCAAGTTGCAACCTCAAACTCCAATGTATTCAATTAGGATATATGCAATAGATTAACTCAGAGTAGGGCATAATTGCAAAGAGGAAGAAAATAGACACACTTTTCATTTGTTGTTGTTTTTTCATTCAGTTAAAGGTACACTATGCAACCGGTGTTGATTTTCCAGCGAGGCTCCCCCCAGAGGGCGAAAGTAAAAGTGCACTGTCGTAAATATGCACAGCTGTTCTCCTGGTTTCTCCGTCAAGCCAGGCGCAGTTGTTTTGAGCTTAGCAGCGAATGACTAATGCTGCGTTCACACCGGGGGCAGCTGGCGCGACAGAAGCAGCGAGTTTACATGCAAAGTCAATGGTTGACGCACGTCAAGGCGCAGCAAAAGGTCCCGTCCCGCGTTGCGTTTTATGCAGCAGGCGCAGCACGTCTGAGCAGCTGAAGCAGCGCGTCGGGTGCGTTTAACGCAGGGAGAGAGACACAGCGCTGATGATCACTCCTCTTAAACAGTTTATTGACGCCTAAATTAACTTAAAATGCAGAAATCTGCCGGCAGAATATGCAGTTTGGATTATTTAGATGAAAAACACCTACCAGCTGCCGCGGTGAACCGCTGCTGATGAAGGGATCCATACTGTCGGCGCATCCCTGGTATGTGGGGGTCTGAGCGGCTCCGACAGAAAAAATATTGAAGGCAGGATAATAATCTGAATGAACTGACTGCACTGATTACGTTTTCAGGTGTATTTTCTCACTTAACACATATTAAAACAACTTTATTCCCACTGATCACAGCAAATATAGCTGCAAGGCAGAGAAAGGATAGTGAAGCTCCGCCCAATGCGCCTCAGACACACAGAGCAGCAAAGCTGCTTCAGCCACGCGTCAGAACTAACTGGTACAAGCAGCAAAAAGGAAGCATTAGACGCGATTTTGCGTAGCATAACTGCACAAAGATTGCCACTGTGCTAGCAACGAGAATGCTTTTATCTGGGGAGTGTAGCAGTTCTCGCCGTAAAGCAAGACTGACTCTCACGAGACTTCTGAGCCTGTGGGTGCGGGTCGGTGCTCCTGCAGTTGCAAGTGCAGTATTTCCCCCACAGACCACCAGGGCGGCCGAGAATACCTTTGTTCAACCTGAAATGACTCATTTAGTCATCCATAACGTTATGGAACACATTAATTAACTGAAAAATGTTGCATAGTGTGCCTTTAAATAAGCTGAAAGGTATACTTTGTAAATTCACTTTCCCCCTGATATTACTGCTACAGGTCTTTTGGGGATTTTTTTTAAATTAGTTTTCTACATCTACATACATAACATTTTGTCAAAATCTTTTCCAAATAGCCCAAGCTCAGGCAGAGTGGACATGTTTAACACACATTAGACCTGTAGCGCTAAAGTGTGACAGAAAAGTTTTTCAGACTCCTGCTTTGAAGACTTTGATTTTTGAGGGGAACATTTTCAACATAAATTTGCTTTATGAATTATCCATTACTGCGCTAGTTTCACTTTTGAAAAGGGATTTGTTCAACACTCAAGTATCCAACAGTTTGCTCAAGCTTGCCATGTGTTCATTCCTACCTAGTTCTGCATCAACTCAGCTGGCTCCCCCATTCTAAGAGGAAAGAGCATCCCTGCAGCCTGAGGCTACAAGCCTCCCACCATCCCATGACAGAAACACAGATCTATGTTTTTCTTCTGGAGATGGTTGCTGGTGTTGGCCTTTAAGTTACACTTTTAGAGGTTTACTGTTTTCTCTGCAACACTTGAAGCAGACACCAAATTGGATTTGCTTGTTTTTTTGTTTTTTATCAGCAATGGATCTCTCTTCATTTTTCCATAGATTTGTTCTAGATTTTCTGAATGCAAGCGTAGTAAAGCGAGAGTGATACCTAAACCGATGCATGCATGTGCTCACAGATTCACTTGTGCACTCAGCAGCCATGCCTCAGATCACGGGAAACACATGCTTCTCCCTCTACCTGCCATCCAGTGTTGATTTATTAATACATGTTTAAATTAATAAAAATGTTTTTTTTTTTTATGATTATAGCTATTTTATAATGTGAAAGAAGAAGAAAAAAGCAATACAGGCTCCTCTACAGGTGCTGGTCATAAAATTAGAATATCATGAAAAAGTAGATTGATTTCAGTAATTCCATTTAAAAAGTGAAACTTGTATATTATATTCATACATTACATACAAACTCATATATTTCAGATGTTTATTTTGTTTAATTTTGATGATTACAAATGACAACAAATGAAAATCTCAAATTCATCATATCAGAAAATTAGAATATTACTGAAGACCAATAAAAACAAAGGATTTCTAGAAATGTTGGCCAACTGAAAAGTATGAACATGAAAAGTATGAGCATGTACAGCACTCAGTATTTAGTTGGGCCTCCTTTGGCCTGTATTACTGCAGCAATGCGGCGTGGCATGGAGTCGATCAGTCTGTGGCACTGCTCAGGTGTTATGATAGCCCAGGTTGCTCTAATAGTGGCTTTTAGCTCTTCTGAATTGTTGGGTCTGGTGTATTGCATCTTCTTCTTCACAATACCCCATAGATTTTCTATGGGGTTAAGGTCAGGAGAGTTTGCTGGCCAATTAAGAACAGGGATACCATGGTCCTTCAACCAGGTACTGGTAGCTTTGGCACTGTGTGCAGGTGCCAAGTCCTGTTGGAAAATGAAATCTGCATCTCCAAAAAGTTGGTCAGCTGCAGGAAGCATGAAGTGCTCTAAAACTTCCTGGTATGTGGCTGCGTTGACCCTGGACCTCAGAAAACACAATGGACCAACACCAGCAGATGACATGGCACCCCAAACCATCACTGACTGTGGAAACTTTACACTGGACTTCAAGCAACGTGGATGAAGTGCCTCTCTTCTTTTCCTCCAGACTCTGGGACCTTGATTTCCAAAGGAAATGCAAAATTTACTTTCATCAGAGAACATGACTTTGGACCACTCACCAGCAGTCCAGTCCTGTTTCTCTTTAGCCCAGGCAAGACGCTTCTGACGCTGTCTGTGGTTCAAGAGTGGCTTGACACAAGGAATGCGACAGCAGAAACCCATGTCTTTCATACGTCTGTGTGTGGTGGTTCTTGAAGCACTCACTCCAGCTGCAGTCCACTCTTTGTGAATCTCCCCCACATTTTTGAATGGGTTTTGTTTCACAATCCTCTCCAGGGTGCGGTTATCTCTCTTGCTTGTACACTTTTTTCGACCACATCTTTTCCTTCCCTTCGCCTCTCTATTAATGTGCTTGGACACTGAGCTCTGTGAACAGCCAGCCTCTTTAGCGATGACCTTTTGTGTCTTGCCCTCCTTGTGCAAGGTGTCGATGGTCGTCTTTTGGACAACTGTCAAGTCAGCAGTCTTCCCCATGATTGTGTAGCCTATAGAACTAGACTGAAAGACCATTTAAAGGCTTTTGCAGGTGGTTTGAGTTAATTAGCTGATTAGAGTGTGGCACCAGGGGCCATCAATTTTGAACCTTTTCACAATATTCTAATTTTCTGATATGATGAATTTGAGATTTTCATTTGTTGTCATTTGTAATCATCAAAATTAAACAAAATAAACATCTGAAATATATGAGTTTGTATGTAATGTATGAATATAATATACAAGTTTCACTTTTTAAATGGAATTACTGAAATCAATCTACTTTTTCATGATATTCTAATTTTATGACCAGCACCTGTAGAATCAGCCTCCCAAAAAAAATGTCAGCATATATCCATTATTGGTTTGAAAAATTGGTGTCGGCCTTTAAAAAAAACATATTGGTTCACATTGTAGCTCCTCCAGAGTTACAATGGATGCTTTCTCTGTATAAAGCTCCCCATGCTTGACCTGCCAGCTTATTTGGGCTGCCATTTTCTGGTAGTTATATGATCTGCCCCTCAAGTCCTCGAGTTGTAGCCTTCTCCCTGTTGCATCTAAGTTTTGGTTTTCATAATCCTATTATTTCCAGTAGGGTGCCCTAGAGAACAGAGGCCAGACAAAACAGATGGGTTGAAACTCGGGATACATTTTACCCAATTGGAGACTATCTAATAGGTGGTTTCTGATCTAGTTTAATTGGGGGCTTTTCTTAATTTTCAAAATGATGCATTAAATAAAATGGATAAAAAAAAAAAACAATATATATATTACAATATATGAAACAATCTGCATATTTTTCCAAGGCACTATATGTTTTTTTTTATGTAATTTTTTCAGCCGGAGACATGGCATACTCAGGAATTTATTGCAGGCTGAAATTCTTTCCATATTATATGAATGATTATATATTTAAAAAAAAATGTAATACGTAAATGTCTGCATTCACAAGCGATATGTCATGCATGTGCTTTGTAGGAGTTGCATCAAAAACACTTCCATCTTACCATCAATCTCCAGCGGCATCAGCTCCCTCTCCTGCAGTGCAGAGAAAGGACACAGAGGTAATAATTAGAAAACAGTTTCGCAGGACAGCGTGTGAAATCAGGGTGACTTTAAAACAGGATTCTCCTGAGAAATGTGCAGTTATAATTTGTCTTTTGACTGCCAAATTAGGACAACATGCATATCATGTCAGAGCTGCTGTGTGCTAGCAGAGGAGTCTAATGGGATTTCACCCAGCGACATGTCTCTCTAATTGGCAAAATGATACCATATCACGCTCTCATGCGTGTGTGCACGCTCACACAGTCTCTGCTTCATCCGGAGACATCATCTTAGTCAGCAAGCATCCAAAAACACGCCCACGCAAAACTATACAACAGTAAACCTTGTCGCGCAGAGAAACAAACACATGAAGGCTTATTCCCAGAAATGCACCAGTGTACGCTGGCCTACTTAGGCAGAAGATGTTATTTGCATATGGCTACCAGCATGAGTCATTCACCACTCTCTGGTTTGTTTTGTGTCCCTTTTTCTTGCATTTTCAAGTATTTCAGCAAACAGGAGCAGAAGTGTTAGGGGCAAACTATCGAGTTTAGGTGTGAATGGCTTTGGATTTCATGTTTGCTGAGGGCTTGAAGTCACAATGTGTTAATGAGTCTGTCTACAAGTAGACAGAAAAGACAATAAAGGTGAAAAGCTTCAAATAACGTCCCGGTGATTGACTAACCGAGCCTGCAGAGGAATAAATACAAATATATGCAAATTTGGAGACATTTTGTAAATTATTAGTGCCAATATTTTTGCTGGTAGGGGCGTGGAGGAGGGTGGGTAGTGGGGAGAGGGGACTTCGACTTGAATGATGTTGCTTTATGCTTTAAGTCAAGTTTCCCTGTGACATGTTGATGTGCTTCTGAGCAAGGCACTCCAGGCTGCATATTCATGTATGAATGCCTGCATGTTATTCAGATTTGCTGACTGTGGCACCAGTGTCAAGAACTTTAATTCGGCTATGTTGATTAGAAAGGTGCTATAAAGAATTTAAAGAATCTTATCCAGTATAAACACCAATCCTTTTCAGCTCACTACATAAAATGATACTGTTTGAAGCTTTAATTACCTTTCAAACATCTTTTTTTGATTAGTTTTTTTTATTTTTCACTTTTCTGGAGAAGACAAGTTAATGATGAAAAATAGGGTGAAAGAAGTGAAATATAAATTTTGAAATCAGTTTTATAAATAAGATCGACATTGAAGTCAGAAGCACAGTTTGAATCATTATATAAAAAAGCTGTTTTTATACTAAGCACCTTGTAAATTTGCCCAAACTCCTTTAATCCTCTCCAGTGTCTCGATTTGTATATTAACTGCTCTGATTGACCTTGTGCGTTTGAAAACGAACACATTCACATTCACATCATTCATGTGACCAGTAGTGGGATGGTAGGTAGGCAGATGCAACAAAATGCAGGTTATTAATTTTAAAAGAAATTTTGTGGGGGGCTGTAGAAGACCTGAGACTGAGACAGAGGTTTCACCTCATAGGAGAATATTTAATCTTACAGCCAAACCTATATGGTAAATGGCCTGTATTTATGTTTTCAAATCAGGAAACTTGACCAAAGTAACTACAGTACATTCAGTCAGTAAGCTACATTGTAGCCACAGCTGCCCTGGGGCTCACTGACGGAAGCACGGCTGCTGTACACTGTTACCACCAGGCCCTCTGAGCACCATCAGTAGACAATGCAGGTGAAGTGTGACACAGCAACACTGAAAGTTGGCTTGAACGATCAACCTTTCGAGGCCCCTTTCAGGGCAAACTTCGACACCCAACTACACTGTAGGATATATGGTGTAGTTTAGAACAGGTCTGCAACCTACAGTCACCTGTGTCTGTTTGGACCCTCTACAATGGCTTCTGATGCTGGTGATGCTGATATAATGAACTAACTAATGTACTATAACAAAAATACCATTCCTGAAAGCTCTAGTGTTTTTTATAACTGAAATGAAATGGGTTTTCACAACAGAATGATATTAAAAACACCAGAAGTATGTTTTTAGAGTTCTATTTCTATTAGATGGCTCTGATATTGGTTTGTAAATTGCTTGGATATTGTTTTATTATCATTTTTTTAAACATCAAATAATACCCTTTAGAATGAATGAAATGTTATGAACTGTTTTGTTTTTCCTTATTTCAAATGCCAAAAATACAAATGAGCTGTTGGTTGCTTGAGATGGCGACAGATTTGAACATTTGAATGTGAACAAGTGGTCCAGACAAAGCCAGTACCTAAAGCCAATAAGAAAATCTGTGACAAGACCTGAAAAACAATCTGAATGAAAAGAATGGAACAAAACATGAGTCTTTAGATGTCAAAGCTCATGCTGGCATACCTAGAAATACTTGGGGCTGTGGTGGTTCTAGGAAGTATTGCTGAAGGGTTCTAAATGCAAACGCAAACATTCCAGTTTTTATTAAGTTGAAAACTTTAAAACCAAGTAATATTTTCCCACCATGTCACACATTCACTATTTTGAGTTTCCCATAGATACACTGTAGAAAACATTTAAATGTATAATCCTACAGCGTGATCCTGCTGTATGGCTTTTGGCAGCTTGTAAAACAATACTTTCAAAGAGAAAAGACGGACACAAAAACCCACACAGGCTCAGATTATTGGCAACATCAATTTGCTTTCGGCTTGTTTTGCTTTGCTGCTAAGGGGAAGCCTGCTTAGACTCAATACAATTCACAATTATAAGACACTGAGCTACATGCTGAGTAATTTTGCTCACTGAGAGAAACTTTTTACTAACACAAAAAGCCATTTTCACAAAATCAGTGCAATGTTTGGCTCATTATTAGGATATGTACTAATGCCATTCATAATACGGAACAAAAACAATGAAATAAAGGTCCCTCAAATGCAGAAGGCTGTAATGGGTATCTGCAGATAAGATCACTAACTGAGGTAAAAAGGTTGCATATATTGATTATTCAGGAATTATTTAAGAAGTTAAGATTAGATTTTCTTAAGAAAGTATAAGGTTTAACTTAAGAAAAATCTGCTTAACTTTTAATCAGCCTTGTTAAACCATAGACACTTCATAATTCATAAAAGGTTCAGAACTTTGTCTTTAAAATCTTTTCAACAGAAATGCCTACCATAGCCTGGAGGCTGTTTTATTCTATTTTTGAAGCAGAGCTTTTATCAGTCTACAGTAGGAATAGTTGTCCTGAATTTGTATGTCTTTATCAAATAAAGCTAATATACAAAAGAAAAATGTATGTTTGACATTTGCTGCAGGTAAAAAGAAAACCATACAAGGTCACCCTGCTCAAGTTCTCTATGACATCACAAGGAGAAAAGGCTCCATGATTTATTTGGATGTCGCTTCGCATGGCACCGTTTCAATGATTATTCACTGTATCACATTGCCAACTCAGTTTAACAAGAAGCCAAGAGGCACTTGCATCAGGAGTTATATCACTTCTCTTGTCAGCCTGATTTATTAAAGCCTTATGGTTTCATATGATTTCTCTTGTCATTTTGCAGCAGTGCTGTTTACCTTCCACAATGTCGTCCAATCATGCAGGAGCAATATTTAGTTAGCAAGGTCAGCACATTAATTGGATTTCTTTTTTTCTATTGCCATCCTGAAAGGATCAGACGGCATGCCACACAGTCAGGTTCACTTCCTCCATCAGACAGAGCCCATTAACAGTTAATGTCATTCTGTCTGCCTTCACATGGCCATGTGAGTTGCTTTGTTAGCATGACGCATGCACATGTAAAGTCGTCAGACTGAAAACGCAGCTAAAAAAAGCCCGCTGGGGAAAATTCCACTGCGTTTTAAGTCACTCTTTCAACCATTTTATAAGATTTAGATAAATCCCATAATGTGTTCTGTTTTTTTTTCTCTACTAGATTTGATAAGGGCTGACAGTAAATAAGGCTCAGTGGTTATTGATACTAATGTTGACATGAAGACTGCTGCAGGATAGGTGTTATCTCTGCCTCAACGACATCCCAGCATAAACCCAAACTACACATCCTCTGCATGGCTCCAGGAGAATTCAGACCAGAGAGTGAGAAAGTATGTCTAGAAGAATTAGTCACTGATGGAGATCTGTTAGAAGTCCAGCATCATGGTGAATATTTTCTCTTTGCAGATAATTTGCTTAAATGCTGAAACAGAAAAACAGCTTAAGGTAAAAAAAAACTCCTTTTATTCTTTAATTTCTAGGTTTCACACAGTTTTCATTACATTCTCTGAATCTGAGCATTGAACCATTATCCACTGTTTTCTTCACTGTATATTCCAGAAGGCAATGCAAGGCAAGTTATTATATAGCCATATTAATAGACAAGGAGATTTAATATGATTTAAATTAAATTAAATTAAAGTTTTTTTCTCAATAATTAATTATGAAAAAAATTTTTGTAAAGCATTACATAAAAAGAAAGAATCACTAAAAATTTTATTTTTTTTCTCCAGTTACACCATTAGAGAGACTAGATTAAAAGCTAATATTTTCAGTCCAAATTTTCAACAATTTAAGAATTTATGGATGTTTCTGACACTCTTCTTCAATTCAGTTTCGATTGTGTTTTATTTTTGCTAATTTTACCAGACCTCTCTGGCCTATTATATAAACAAAACAAAAAAAATTCTCTCTGGAAGGGAAAAGGTAGAAATCAGGATGTTTTGTTACTACATCATGTCTCTTTGTTCTGTTTTCAGACCGGTGGGAGGTGCAGCTCAGTAAACTAGAATAGACCTTCCAATGAGATGTGTTTTTTTGCTGAAAAGTACCTTTTAAAAGTACTCATATTAAAGTAGGTAAACATATTTTTGTTAACCTCTTACACCCTAAGGGGATATAAATAAATTTCTGCCTGACAAAAACACACAAAAGTAAATAACTTATAGCCTCAAAGCTATTAGATTTAAGAAGAAACTTTTGGTACGTCTGTAAAGGTAAGATGTCATAGAATGGTTTTCTGGTGTCAGCACCATTGTAG